TAGTCTTCAAGTGCCGACCCTGAATGTTCACCCAGTTCAAGTCCAACCTCTTGCACATCATCTGGCAACGATCATTTTACAAGTGGAATCGTGTCTAATGACCCCACGATCGTAGAACAAATAACTATGTTCGCTTCCAAGACTTCCGAGGCAATATTCCTAATGCCCTGCTCTCCTCCTTCCGTCCGAGGTTCCGTCCCTCGATATGCCTCGATCCTTGGTTCCACTCCACCCCTTTTCGATCCTTCCATCTCGTCTTGATTCTCATCTCCAGAAGAAGTGTCCACATCAAACCCCGTCTGGGACTCGCTACAAGGCTTATCCAACACCTACTGATCTTTAGCCGGAACCCCTATCGGCACTGGCTCCTTGACATCCAAATTAACTGACTCCTCCAATCTCACCCCACACTCATGACAATAGCTTGACCTGGACCCCACTATAGACCCACTTTCCACAACCTTTATCAATCCATCCAATTCTCCTTTCAACGCCTGTATGCGAGCCATTATTTCGACATGAGGGTCATTTCTCCCATTGCCCACCCATTCCTTCTGCAACAATACCCTCTGATCAGTACTTTGCGAAGCCCGTGCATTTGCCGTGACTTCGGCATAAGTCATCCCTCATTGGCTTCTTTCGTCATATGTTTGACGTACCACCTTGTCCCTGGCCATAAAAGAAGCAATGACTGCTTGGAATATGCATGAAACCGATTACCATCCCTCTCCATTTGCACCTTCTGGCACCATTACAACCCCTTTCTCTACCTCTCCCCATATGTGCTACCATGAGAAACCTGTCACGACTGTTTGCACAACGTTGCACCAAGAAAGCACGGGAAGATTCATTAAATTTGGCAACGGATTCCTCCATCTTACTAGCCCTCCTCAACTTTTCCACCATGTTTACCATCCACACGGCACCAAATCGACCCATACAGATAGCACCCGATATCTTTGAGCCCCATTCCGAAAGCCTAACCACGCCAGAGACGGTAACAGTCACTACAAACTCCTTCACCTCGACTCTAAATCGTGAACTGAAAACGATAGCCTCCATTACATAGGGCTGTTTCCCATGATTTTGTGCTAACGAGCTAGAATATGACGGAACCATTGGTCGGAATAGCTTCGTAGCAGCCGGAGGAACCTGAAGGGGTCCGCCACTCGCCGGCGCGTGAAGCCCACGCGCCGCCTGAACGGCCGGTGCCCATGCACCTGACAGGCCGGAGTCGGAACAGCCTGCAGAGGCTGCCGGTCAGGCGCGTGGGCACTGATTCTGGGTGAAACTGGGGTCTGGTCGGAAACTGCTGGGCTTGCGAGGCTGGTTTGTGGCGTAAGGCCGGTGGGGTTGGGTCGCTGGTTCTGGGTCTAATGATCGGCGCCGGAGAGGCCGGCGACAATGGGGTTGGATGGTGGAGGGGTTGGTTTGGATATGACGGGAGCCATCGAACCTAGGGTTTTCGCCTTCTGTTCGCTTGGGGTTGGGAGGGAGTCAGAATTGCTATTTTATCCGAAATGAGCTCTAGATCATCTTAACAATTTAAAATATCGTGTTTGTCTGACCCATTTCGAACCAAACATCCTTGAAAGTAAGTGTATGCGTTCTTCCACTTGATATTGTCTGCCACAGGCAACATAGGCCGTCAAACCTCCTTACCCATCATTTTCTGTTTCTACTGTATGATCTTCTCTACTTCCCGTTTCAGTTAACCTATATTTAATTATTGATAATTGATTATCCCTCTGTTCTAGATATAAAAATGCCATTATGGACCTAATATATCTTGAATAGAAATCCATTGCTCAGACACCAAAATAGCATCTTGAAACCATAATTACTATACGCACGTTAGTGTTCACAGCTCTAGAGAAGCACCTGAACAGCTTTAATATCAACAAAAAATCATTTTCTTGATTATCTATAATCACTATCAACTATATTTTACGAGATTGTGGGCATCAATTCCAGTTAAATACTAAAACAAAAAGGCTCTTGTCAGGACTGTCCTACATCACCAACTGCATCCTTATAATGACTCTCAAAGTTCAAAAGGTGTTGCCTTAAATTCAAGGGTCATATGTTCTTATTAGCCTGTCTCTAGTGAGCTCACATATTAATTACTAGGGAAAATATAAATTCACAAGCAATTCATTTTCCAGATCAAATGTACTCACAAGAGATTTCCAAAACATTAAAAATTTCAACTCAACCTAGCAACTAAATTTGAATTACTCAAAATGGTAGAGCAGTAATCCAGTGTGTAAAATCATAAATTTAAGTAGCAATGTAATAGTAAGTATTGTAGATAACAAAAGTGTCACATACCACAATGAGCATGCAGATTTCATGAAACTAACAATATAACAACTAAACAAGTGTAGTCTATGCTACATTATACAGCTTGCAGCTAGAATTTTTCAGTTGTCAAAAAAAAGTACAGCATGATCAGGCGAATCTATCACTCTCCTCAAATAAAATAACTATATTTGCATTCTCTAGTGGGTAAGGAAATAACATTCAATATTATGATAATTTAGGTTCTGTTTGCATTGTAAATCGAGTATCTCATTCTCCAGTCCCTTTCGGGAGTTATTGAACTATCTCCACACTAGAGACCACAAAACTATGAATGCTTATTTACCTTTAATGTCACTTTCTGACAGTTTATATTATTAGTCATAAAC